TGCTGGCTATGCCCAAATTTGACCGTCTATTTGTAATTGAATGTGATGCATCGGGGACCGGGATTGGGGCAGTGCTGATGCAAGAACGGAGGACTGTTGCTTATTTTAGTAAATCATTGGCCGATAGAACGCTGACTAAATCAGCCTACGAACGGGAGATGATGGGGCTGGCCTTAGCTGTGCAGCATTGGAGGCCATATTTGATCGGGAGAAAATTCATCGTGCGCACAGATCATCGAAGCCTTAAACATCTGCTCACGCAGCGCGTTGCAACGCCTTCCCAGCAGGTTTGGGTGGCCAAGTTACTTGGATATGACTTTGAAATTGAGTACGAGACAGGGATTTCTAATGCGGCTGCGGATGCGCTATCTAGAAGAGGTGAGGAAGTAGAGTTGGCAGCAATTAGTATACCAGAATGGCTGGGATTAGCTGACATAGAGGAGGAGCAACAAAACGATGCCTATTTGCGAGGCATTATGCAGGAGTTGGAGGCCGATCCGAATAGCATGTCGGGCTATGAATTAATGGGTAAGCGGCTGTTCTTCAAAGGACGATTGGTCCTAGCTTCCGACTCGAAGTGGATTCCTTGCCTGCTAAAAGAATTCCATGATACGCCGGCAGGTGGCCATGCGGGAGCCTATCGGACCTACCGAAGACTGGCCATGAATGTAATGTGGAAAGGAATGTTCCGTAGGGTGCGGGCTTATGTTGCTCAATGTTTGGTCTGTCAAAAAGTGAAATATGAGACCGCATCACCAGCAGGACTGCTACAACCCCTACCGATTCCCAGCCTCGTATGGGAAGATATATCCATGGACTGCAACACTTGCTTACCCAATTCAAAAGGATACACATCCGTTCTGGAAGAGGTGAGGAAGTAGAGTTGGCAGCAATTAGTATACCAGAATGGCTGGGATTAGCTGACATAGAGGAGGAGCAACAAAACGATGCCTATTTGCGAGGCATTATGCAGGAGTTGGAGGCCGATCCGAATAGCATGTCGGGCTATGAATTAATGGGTAAGCGGCTGTTCTTCAAAGGACGATTGGTCCTAGCTTCCGACTCGAAGTGGATTCCTTGCCTGCTAAAAGAATTCCATGATACGCCGGCAGGTGGCCATGCGGGAGCCTATCGGACCTACCGAAGACTGGCCATGAATGTAATGTGGAAAGGAATGTTCCGTAGGGTGCGGGCTTATGTTGCTCAATGTTTGGTCTGTCAAAAAGTGAAATATGAGACCGCATCACCAGCAGGACTGCTACAACCCCTACCGATTCCCAGCCTCGTATGGGAAGATATATCCATGGACTTCATCACTTGCTTACCCAATTCAAAAGGATACACATCCGTTTTGGTGGTGGTGGACCGTCTATCCAAATATGGGCATTTTATTGCCCTCAAGGCTCCAATTACAGCACGTTCGGTGGCCGAAACATTTGCTAGAGAGATAGTCAGATTACACGGCATTCCTCGCTCAATTGTAAGTGACCGGGATTCATTATTTATAAGTGCTTTTTGGAAGGAGATCTTTGCCTTATCGGGTACACAATTAAAGTTTAGTTCCGCTTACCACCCGGAGACAGATGGACAGACGGAGGTATTGAATCGGGTATTAGAGGCATATTTGCGATGTTTCACCTGCGAACAGGCAAGGCGGTGGTTACGCTGGCTACCTTGGGCCGAGTATTGGTATAACACCGCGTTTCAAACGGCCGCAGGAATTTCACCATTTGAGGTGGTTTACGGGCGGCCACCTCCTACTATTCGACAATTTCTACCAGGAGAAGGCACGGTGGCAGCCGTGACAGATGTGTTGGGAAGTCGGGACATCATGTTGAGACGCCTAAAAGAGAGTCTACGAATTGCACAACAACGCATGGTGGCCCAGGCCAATAAGCATCGCCGAGATGTAACTTTCCATGTAGGAGACAAGGTGTTCTTAAAGGTTAGACCACACCGTCAAACCACTCTCTCCCGCCAGCCATATAATAAGCTCTCGGCCAAGTTTTATGGACCTTTCTTGATTGAAGCACGCATCGGACCCACGGCTTATCGCCTTGCACTACCACCCACTAGCCGTATCCACCCAGTATTTCATGTTTCTCAGCTGCGGAAGGTAATTGGAGATCATCCGGTTGAAAGTGTGTTACCAGAAAGTTTAGAGTTACCAGTGGGACCAATTTTTGAGCCAGAAGAAATCCTTAAAACAAGGAAGCAAAATAACAAGGAAGAAGAACTACTGGTAAAATGGGCAGGGCAGCCAACTGATGATGCTACATGGATAGATAAAGCAAGATTTCAGGGCCAATTTCCAGATTTCAACCTTGGGGACAAGGTTCTTCCAAGGGAGGATGAAGATGATACGGAGCAGATCGCTCCTGAGGATCCGCAGGGGGGAGCGACCGAAGGGGATCAGGGCCCTAGGCCCTGGATCGTTTACCGACGGCGAGGACGGGATGGGCCCACGTCCGTGGGCTGGGGCGGCCAGCTTAGTGGCTAATTTATTATACTTCTTAATTAATTAGTTATTAGCTTTTATTATGTTTCCTAAATTAAGTTTATTTCCTAGTATGAGTTATTTAGGAGTTTTACCTTAATTAGGAAAAGTAGTCTATATACCCCTTTAAGAGGGTTATTCAAACTATGCTTTTGAAGGAATAGAATTGGTGTTTAAGCTTTAAGCTTCGGGCAACGATTGCAATCGTTGATTGTTATTTTCTGTTCTTATCACATGATCATACACAAGTGAAGAGTCACTTTTTTAGATTGATCTTACTCCAATATAAGAAAAAATGGGTGAGAATAACAAGGACATAGGACCACCCTTGTCTCAAACTCTAAGGAAAGTGGATGATCGTAAATGACGAAGTAAGTGTATTTGGACTGCCACTCAACTATCATTAAAATGACTGATTTCCCTACCACCTTCGGCAGCCCACTCAACAAAGACCATGGATATCAAAATATGGGTGATCATTCTTGATGAGCTTGTGGCGGCAGTGATAGCTCTTCCATGAGTGTTGTACTGCCGTCCACACCAACAGTCAGATCTGATGGGTACCGAATAGTATACCAACAAACCATATGTCTCAAGACACATCTCTAGAAATGGAGAACTGATCCTCACAGTTTGAGCTCAAGAATCGGATCATGAAACCATCAAGTGAAATAAGTCAAATAACATCAACAAACACAAACTATCCATAAATTTCAGAGTTGCCGCGTTTGTAAATAAGGTATTTCTTAACATCGGCTTGAAAAAGTATAACCAACGCCAATACTTCCAAACATGAATCTGAAACAACTGTTGACCAAGAATTAGTAATGTTTCACAGTTTCACTTTTATTTCTATGTTATTGTTATTTTATGTTTATTCAAGGGAGCAGATTCTATATAAAGCTGTTTTCTAAATTATGTCTTCTAGTGTCTTATAGCTATAATGGTAGGATTTAGGCAGCATTTTCACATATCCTATGTTTTGTTCTACAACTCTCTAATTATTTTAGTCATTCCCTACAGAAGTAATGGCCATATCGGGCGTAACCCTCCTCAAGTCTAAGGGTGTGTTTGGGAGATGGGGTTTATGACCTCCATTTTCATGTTTGGGAGTTTATAAAATTGGAGGGGATGGTTTTGGAGGCTTTCGTGACCCTCCAAAACCCGCTAAATGCTCAATTTTTAAGTTCCCCCAATTTGGAGGGTTTTGAAGGATAATTAATGAAATGGTAATTTAAGCTCAATTAAAAATAAATATCAGTTCGATTATTTGAATTTGTCATATACTCATATCTCAAAGTGATTTTAATTATAATTCATTCAAAAACTCTCTACTTCCAAATTTATTACTCCCAAATACAAAGAAGGACTTCCTCATCCTCCCCTCCCTTTCCCCTCCAACAACATACCTCCAAAGCCTTCCCCTCCCCTCCCCTCCAAACTCCCAAGCATACCCTAAGTGTAACTGACAGTATGAGAAAGAGAGTATGTTACAGGCCCGGGTTTAAGATTGTCACAGGATGGTGTGAAGAAGAAAGATAAAAAGTTTCATAGGAAGAAGAACAGTGCATATAATTCAAATTATAATAGTACTAGGAGATGTTGTTGAGTTATCCAGACTCCCTGGCCAAACAGTTAAGCATATAATTCAAGCTTTTATTCAAAAAAATCCTTCTTATAACTTATAAGAGATACGTAGTATGAAATAACAACCACTCCTTAACTAGAAAAGTGGATTCATTATCAAGATAGGAAGTTACAACCACTCCTAAAAACTAGGAAAGTGATCCGTGATATTAAATTGCTAACTGTGCATGCTTCACTTTTTTATTAACCCCAACAACTAATGCATTATTAAACCTAACATAGAACAATCACAGAGGCAATTATTAATCCCTCGGTATTTCAAAAATCTCTACATTAGGTTTGGACACAACATTTAAGAGGATAATAATAAGGGTAATGAATAGTGTAGAAAAAGTAGGAGAGAAAGCGGAAAAGTATGAAAGAGAAGATAAAAAGTAGAAAAAGTAAGAGTAGTTGAGAATTTTTAAAGGAAAAAACTTACCAAAAAGGGAAAGTGTAGCAAACTTTTAAATATATCCAAAAAAGAAAGTGTAGCAAACTTTAAAATACGGAGGGAGTATTATTATTATTATTGTCCACACTGCAGATGTTTCACATGTAAGCATTATGTTTCTTTTTCTGATTGCAGTGTTGGTAGGTCATATCAAGGAACGTATCATATGTAACTCAGTCACTTCTTTTACACTCGTATATTTTCACATGTGGTGAAGTGTCTAGCACTCTAGCCCAACTTGTGGAGCATCTAGCCCAAGGTTGTGCCGAAGAAATTGCTAGCTTTACTAACCACTAACCAGTATGAGATTGAGGTAGATGATATGTGACAGACAGAGCATGTCTCTCATGCAAAACTAAATTCTCAAAGATATTTAAATTTTTAAACACACGCAAAACAGCTAACCAAAGGATAAATCAATACCTTGTACTTTGCAGCCAAAACGTTTTTCACTATGACGAAATTTATGTCCATTGATACTTTTTCTTGAAAAACTCCTCCCATTGCTTTCACTAGCTTTTTTATTTCAAACTGCAAGTTACATTCAATGAAGAAGAGATCAATAACCTTGAATCCAGCTTAAAGGGAGGTTCTAAGATAAATTCTTCTGGATAGAAAATAAGCTGGATTGAAAATAACACCAACAGCTACCATTAATACTACCATTAATACTGAGGCAAATGTGCAAGTTTTACACTATGTAGCACGGAAACTCTCGGGAAAGAGGACGTTTCCGTTTCGGAAACTCTACAGAAACTCTTTGGAATCTCTCCAAACAAGCTGTTTTTTAGATAATCACAATCATGCCTTTTAGAGATTTCCCGTTTCCTCATGTTACTAGTGTTTCCGTGCAACATAGGTTTTACATAATCACAATCATACCTTTTAGAGATTTCAACCATATGATTTCAATCAATGTGTCCTATGACTTCTAGCTATACATGTAATCTGCGAATGAGGCTGTGAATAACAAATTGAGCAATACCCCCCTCCCCCATGTTTGCAAAAGAATGATATTTCAATTGGGGTACAATGAATTCTAGATGATAGGAAATTTAATAATCCTCACATATGTCCAAATATATATTAACCACGTAAAGAGTAAAGACAGTAAAAACTTTCACAAAATCCAAATGAGAAGTACTAGACATGACACAAATCATAATCATGCTTCAAAAAGGCCTTATTGTCATTAAATAGACCCCATCATAAAGTTTTATGATGCCCTCCCTCTATTGTGTTATGCATGTGTAACGCAATAGTGAAATCAAACAAAGAGATATACTTCAAGAGACATAAGGATGTTGTAGTATGATTTTTTTCCCTCAAACCCTCTCATACAAAAGTGCTATTAAATCTATAAATAATCTAAAATAAGTATATAGTTTTGTGACATTCTGATTTTAAATAAGCCGTACACGAAATTTAATGAGAAAAAGTATGTATTTGGCATTTTTTGTTTAGGTAAATATAGTTGAAAAGATTAATTTTATTTGAGTGTTATAAAAAAATGTTCTTTTCATTGGAAATTATAGACTATAAACATGTTTAGATAATTAGTTCAAGAATAAAACATACTCAATAAATTAGTATATGCATTGTAAATCAACGTTATAATCAACTAAATAAGTGATTTTCCGTTATAAAAACTAAAAAGAATAATCATTTTAACCCGTGCGCGGCACGGGTAAAGATAATAGTTAATAATTAATACATAAGAGGCTTGATGCCCACTATAAGTAGGATAAATGGACGCTAAGTTCTTGGTTTTTCAGTTTTTATAATTTGTTAAGAGAACATCACTACTGTCGTATTATTCATGACAGGTTACTCTCTGGTCTGGCCGCAACCTCCAATAAGGTCTGCCAGCATCCTTATGGTCTTTGCCTTGGCTCAGTCTAAACAGAATTTTTTTTATTTGTAACAACGCAAGTAGTATACCTTTTCGTCCTCCTTAAAACCAGATGCTAGTATTTTGACTCCGTCCATTGCAAGGCAGCATGTAAAACCTTGATTAGGGAGTGGTCTGTGTTCATTCGCACAAAAAAGTACACACCTAGGACCTGGCCAAAAAAATAGAGAATATCAGCTAAAAGGTCGATGCAAGGAAGAGGGTGCTGGATACATGAAGAGAAATACTCGGCTTTTACCGATCAAATTGCAGCCTTTTGACAGGAGTTCATCGAATTTCTCCTGCAATTAGAAAAATACAACTCGATAAGCCATAACTGTGGAATTCAGCCGCTAATTAAATCCAAACTACATATAACTCGAAAAGGCTGGTGAGATACATGATCCATAGAGGAGATGACGTGGTAGTCGTTGGGACCGTTGTGGGATGGGTCGCAGCAGAGGAAGACCTGAGCTCCGTTGAGCTTGAGCGCGTCGTGAAGAGTGTCGAACTGCTCCGGTGGAACCAAGTTGCGCGACATGAACACGTTAGCTCCCTTGAACACCTTGCCCATCATCATCTTCCTCTTTTCTCCAACTATCTGCCTCAATTAGTCATCCATGTAGGGAGAGATATTGCGGGTTTAAAATGGGGAAGAAAACTTCTTAGGTTTTTGCGCGGGAAGAAGTGGAATTTTTTTGTGGAAACCTCTGGTATGTTGATCAATGTAGGTGCTAATCTAGCACTCGAACTCGAGTTACATTTTTTTATAGTCAAAATGCCTTAAATTGATATCACAATATTCAAATAGGGAATCAAGTATTTTGTGGTCTGATAGCATTACTATAGCACTTTCAAGGAGAAGGTCGGTTCGAATCCCGTTCCAATTCAAGGATGTAGGTTAGAAAGAATTGCCAAAAAAAACATTCAGAATACAATCGGAGTACAAGTTAAAAAAAAATAGCACTTAAGGAATGCGGAGTAGATGTTTTTAAAGTGTTGGTTTTTATTTTATTTTTTTATACTCAATATTGGTGTCATATGAAAGATAATAAAAAGTTATGAATTTTTATACTCCCTCCGGTTTTATTTAATCTTCACACTTTGACTTCACACAAAATAAGGAAAGAAATTTGACTTTACTGTAGAGTACACTGTTGAGGCACTGTTTGACACTGTTTGGCACTGTAGAGACACTGTTTGGCACTGTTGAGGCACTGTTTGACACTGTTTTGATGTAGATTTCTTTGCCAAAAAAGGAAATAAGGAAGTGTGAAGTTTATTTTAGACCGTCCCAAAAAGGAAAGTGTGAAGTTTATTAAAAACCGGAGGGAGTATATTTTTTGTAACAATCAGAATCCAAATAAAAAAGTTACAACACTTTAAAAAAAGAGAAAATTGCCTTGCATAAGACTAAATCATATGCAGTTTACAAAAGTAAGACTGAACCGTGTTTTTTCCATCTGTATGGTTTATTTAGCTCTATTTTAGCAAACATTATTGTTTCTTTCCAATTTTACCCTTCTCTATTATGCCATTCTAATAAAAACTTCCCCAAATTCATCTCTCCAGACTCATCTCTCTCGCTAAATCACAACCGATTCACATCTCCGGCTCGACTCGATCATCTCTCTTTGCAAAGGCATCAGGATCATATCACAACCGCTTCACATCTCCGGATCGAATCAGTTTTGGACGGATACATCGATCAGCTACCTTCTAGCAGACCTCGACTACGAATTCTACTACAGTTGAATCGATAACTATGGTTCTGCTGATACTCTGGTTTTGGGAATACAAATAGAGGTATCCCAGGGCACGATAAATAGTGATGGACCTACGGTTGTGACATCCAATGTTCTACCAATTCAATTGACCTTTTGGTTAGCAATGACCTACATATATTAATCGTGGAGTTTCTCGATGGTCTCTTGAGGTAATTTGATCATTGAATATTGTGAACTTCATATATTGTGGTTTGTTTTGCCTGCTCGTATACTATTATAAACATTTATTGTTCATTTATTGACTACTTAACGTCTATGTATTGTTTGTTGCTTTCCAAGTTTAGTTGTGGTCAAACATGCTCCCTCAATATAATGTCCGAGAAGGTCCCCACCATCAAGCCACAATTGATGTAGTTCCTGATATCCAGCAAACATCAATATGAAAATGCATCTAGAAAAGTGTATATTTCGAATTACATTCTTATTCTTCTATTGTTTTCATACTCTACATTCACTTTATACTTACTTTTTGTGTTGTGTATTTTGTTTTAGGGTAAGCGTGCTACTCTATATGAGGTTGAGGTGGTGGACAAAGCAGCATCTAGAAGTGTGGTTGTTGATCTCAAAGACAAAACAAGCTCATGTTGCGAGCTTCAACCGAAGTAGTTCATACATGTTCAGGGTGTTGCCAGTGCAAGTCAACGTCGAGGATTATCGTGTTATGATGACATCTCCAATATTGGTTCTTACTTTGATTCAAATCTTCTTGATTAGATGCAGTCCATAACATGCAATTCACCTATATGCCTCACACGCCAACGTGATTGACATAAAAAGAAGTGTATACCTTGAGCTAGAGAGTTTGCTCCTTGACAGTGGCAACAGTGTTCACATTATAAGAAAGATGGGCATAATAAGAAGCATTGTAGGATTTCTAGTAGATCCATAGTTCTTAAATTCAGTGAATGTACTTTTGTTATTCATACTTAATTGTCATGGTTTTTGGAGTTTCAGTTAATGTACTTGTTGGGGTTTTATCCCGTAGATCCGAAAGCCCAACACACGCTTTGGATATTAAGGACGTTTGGTTCGGTTTAGAAAGTGTATAAAATATAAAGTAGTGAATTAAGAAGTACTCAGAAGTTAAATTGTATTAAATAATTCGGTGATTACAATTGAACTGCCCAAACGGTACGTCGGCACGAGTTTGAATACAATACAAGAGAGATGATTCTATTGCTAAGCTCTGAGTCTAAAAATGATAATCCTTTACAATGTATTAAGCCCAGGTATTTATACTGGAGTGGGGATGGGTGAGATGGACACGTGGCTGACTCCGGTAGGCTGTAACCTCTGCCACGGTATGCACCCATGCCTCCACTTGCTGCTGCCATTTTTTAGCATTAAATGCGGTTTCCACTTGCTGACTACCCGTTCGGATAGCACGTTCGGTGTGCGGGACTGATATGCACTAATTAGTAGTGCATAAGTGTATGTTTTTATGTTTAATTTGTGTGGTTTGTTTACCGTTTTATTTAGTTTGTAAACATTTGTGTGATTTTAGTTGTAATTGTATTTTAATCTTCATTTGTAAGTTGTAAAGTAGAGTTAGGAATTAGGGTGTTGAAAAGGAGGACTTTGAAGTGAAGAAAAATAAGATTTGGCTGCCCAGAAGCAAAAACCCGACCGGGTACAATACTTCACCCGGTCGGGCATGACAAAGAATCAGAAACTGCTGAGAAAGTCACTAGACCCGGGCGGGTCACTTATTTGACCCGGTCGGGTCAGATGTGACCCGGAACACCAGAACATGCCGAAGATCTCCAGAACGTGGGAAATATTTGATTTTGACGTTGACCCGGTCGGGTATGTCCATTTACCCGGGCGGGTCAATGCCCCAGGGTGTTGAAAACACCTATAAATAACCCCATTTTCCTTCACAAATGATAACTCCTTCTTCCATACTCTTAAGCTCAGTTTAGAATAGTATTTCTTTTATATTTTTATACATGTTTAGTCTCCAAATGAGGAGCTAAACTTCCATTTCTTGGTGTTGCTCTTGAAGCTTGTTGATTATTAAAGTTGTGAGTTATTTTCTTATCTTCTTCCCTTGAATATTAATTATTCTCTTAATCTATCTATATATTAATGTTGGGGAGTGTTGCTAAGATGACAATTAGTTAACATCTCGACATTAATTATGGTAGTATTTATTTTCTTCCTCTATATATTAATGTTGGGGAGTGTTGCTAAGATGACAATTAGATAACATCTTGACATTAGTTATAGTAGGATTATTCATATTTAATCTTCTTCCTTGAATATTAATTCTTCCCTTAATCTATCTCTATATTAATGTTGGGGAGTGTTGCTAAGATGACAATTAGTTAACATCTCGACATTAATTACTACTAGAAACGATCAACGAACTGATGGTTAATCGTTGATGGCTTCACAAGTAAGTAACTTCGGTTTATTAATGCACGGTCGTGGTTAATAAACTTAAGAGGGATTAATTTTGTTGGTTAAACCGAAACCGTTGTGTTGAGGTTATCAATCTCAATTGATTTCATCAAGGAGTTAAGAGATTAAATGCTACTATTAAGTCGGTATATGGCGGTGTTCTATACTTGACTAATAGTAAGGGTTATTAATGAACGGTCGTTGTTAATAACTACCCTCGATGAATTGGATATACTCCTCGATTGAGTATTCGAGAGGGAATAAGTTATAGATATAACAATGATCGACTAAAATATATCAACAAGTGGAAAGTAGCAATGCCAAGTCCTTTTTATCTTTGAATTAAATCACATATAAGTTGTTCATCTTTGTGTTTAATCAAATTAAATCACTCAATCCTAAAACCCCCCTTTTATTTTACTAGTTTTATAAAAAGAGAATTATTTCCTTTCCCTGTGGATACGAACTCTACTTCACCTATACTACGTATAAGTGTTAGTATCGATTTATTTTGAGTGCACACACGACAAAGTGCACGTCAGGGACCCCCTTGAAGGTATTTGATGTTAGTACTTCATTGACTGTCTCAAGTGGACAAATCCACCTGAATGTCGTTCATATGCCGCCGTGTGGATGTTAAAGTAATGCCCACTCTAGATCTCTTCCACTACTTCTTTTCGGTAATTCCTCAGTAGGCCCATGGGTATCTAGTTGTAAGTGCCCGATCGGGTCATATTTTATTTTCCGATCCCCCCTCCTCCATCAAAGGCTGGAAAGATCGATTCTTCTTTGTCTCTGTCCCGAACGGTCTGATCCCAGAGAAATGAAATGCTTTCCCGCCGAAGTCTCCCGAACCGTTCATCTCCGAGGAACTCAGCAAGGATGTCATTGCTGTGGAGACTTGCGGTTGTTACAAAATCAGGGCCTATCTGACCCCCGATCGGCTTATAAAGGCCAGGATAAGTACTGCATGAATTCCTGAATCTACTTGACTGAAAACCAAATGTCATGGCCCGGGCGGTCCTTCCCGTGCGAGAAAACATTTTGTTCATCCACGCGCGAACCGCTCGATACTAATTTTTTTTCCTTTGTTTATTTCCAGCTCCCAATCCAGACGCAGCTTCGGAATCCGAAGAAGCCCATCCCCAACAACAATTTATGGATGACAGCAGATTGTTCTCTGTTGGTGTGGAGGATGAGCCCCAAGTCTCCCCTCCGGTTCAGTAGAAGAAGAAAACCAAAAGGAAGAGGCTGAGGAAAGCCGATCAAGCAAGCTCTTCCCAGGCTGCCCCTCCGACTGTTAAGCAACCTGAACCTGCTCAGGAGGTCCAGCCCGTTCAGCAGGTTGCTTCTGAACAGCAAACCTCCCATGCTGACATGCTGATGGACCATCTCTTCTCTGATCAGCAATCTCATCAATTCTCGGGCGAGGATGTGGCTTGGCCCGACAGTTTGAACGAATCTTCCTCGAGGATCCTGCTCACGAAATGCTGGAGCGGGGGGCTGTTCGGCGAGCCAAATTTGGTCCACCGCTGCTTTCCTCAACGGATTCACCCTCCCCAATCTCCCGGTTGAGC